CGCCAGCCCAGCGCCTGCGCTCGCGGTGTGCGGTGCTGTCCCAGCTGATTCGCCCTCGAGTAGCAAAAAAGTCTGTCCCAGCCCAGTTACACTGCACTGTTTCATTGAATTAAGATGTTTCACCTGAATTACATAGGACTTTTTATCTCTTATTAGAAGGGCGGGGGCGGGGGGGTGGCAAACTATTCAACCATTCCAGTCACCCAGTTCTTCCCAGTACCCCAGAGGCTTCAGTCAGACCCCAGCTTCAGTAAACCAGAGAAAGCACTAGGAGTAACAAGCACACAAAACAACCTGCTCTAAAGAGCTTACATCTTCAAGAAACACAAAGAATTTAAGTAAAAAAAAAAAAAAATATTATCCACTTGATGGATAGGGAATTTATAACCAAAACGGTACAACTCGCCTAAAATGAGAGAAAAAACCTGCAGCAAAAGGAGGATTAAATTCATGTGCAGTATCCACAACCTCCTAGTCATAAGACCAAGTCTCATTTTATTTGCATAGCTGAGGTGGGAAGGGTAGCAAACTAATTAATTACAGTACAGGCGTGACAAAATGCAGCTTTCATTTGGGAAGCAGCATCTTCAAAAGAACAAACTTCCACCCTTCTATCCGAAAGCCACCCCAACCTATCCACTTCATATCCACGTCGATGATTTCAACAGCGAAGGAAGCGTTAGTCTGCAAAATTCACACTCCGATTCCCAGGAACTACAAGGAACGTTAGGAGCCACCACTTCAGCCATGAGAAAAAGAAACTAAATCGCTTCTGAGGTCTCCTAAATCTACCAATTCCACAGGTACTAATGTCAAACACCAAGCCAGAAGACAGGATAAACAGGAATTAAGATCCCTGGGAATCCACCAGTGCTATGATCCACCACGGGAACACACTGGAAGCAATTTAGTTCTGGTACATTCTGATCCATTAGGCAGTGTCAAAGCTTGCTCTAACATTTTGAGGAGTGACTGTGGCTTGCGTTGACTCAAAACCCTGGGGTGCATATTTTGCAAACGCTTCTGGACCAAACACCTAACACGCAGCCTTCCCATACGCATTCAAGTCCTGTGCCCCAGCAAGGTACGACTCTTCCTGCTTCCTACCGCCTCCAAGAGCGGTGCTGCAGGATTCGGGCTGCATCGCTGGTGCTAAAGCAGAGGAGTGTTCTGAAGTCAGATGCCGATCCCACTCACACTGCAGTTCGGACTGGGAACACTGCAGGAACCTAACTACTCCAGTGTACCCTACCGATCGCGGTCGGTGGGAGAGGGTACGCAGCGGATTTCGGTGAAGCAGCCCCCTTTCATATTGGAAAGTGCTGGTTTCCAAGAGCGAACGGAAAAATAGCTGCAAGGTCCTTAGGATCTAAATCTAGTCCCCAGAGCAAAGGTCACAGCAGAAATGATTTATTCAGCATAAGAACTTTTGGAATTCATTCAAGGAGAAGAAAAAAAAAAACCACCAGCAACAACACAGGCTGATATTTTTTTCCCACTGAACTATTTCTTTCTTTTTAAAGAGGGATACAAGTCACCATGATTTGCCAAACACCAGTGAATTCTGCCTGCCTACAGCAATAAACAAGTAAACCGACACAGTAGTCTAAGCATCAGTCTCTGGAAGTATAAAAAGCAAGTAAGCTGGGAGAGGAACAAAAAAGGGGGAAACACTGTACTGCTGATGGGGTTATGTTCCTTTGTGGCAACTTAGAACGGAGCCTCCGAACGCAGCTACGTTTGGTGCGTGTTTAGCTCAGTGCAACACTGGACACAGGTTACAACCTCAAGCGACCTGAACGCTTCGTGAGTCAGTGAGGTTGGTAGGACGTGCCTATGGCGTGCTCAGGGCACAAGCACAGCACAGACAGGGTACCAGATACAGCCACTTGGCCGGTTCAAAACAGAGAAACGATGGAGTTGCTGTAGCACAGACACCAATGTCTATCTCTACCCAGTAGCAACGTCCCTCCTTCCTTCTTCACTGCCCTTAGAGGCACCCAAAATGGTTATTTTAACCTGTGCCCACTCATTACAGCAGTGTGCCTCCGAGTACCATACAGAGCTTGCATCCTCTCGGGCTCCAAACCCCTTTACCCTGCAGCTCCTTTGCTGTCGAGGGAGCCCACTCGCCACGCGTGGGCTGCTTGTACAGTAGAGCAGGTGAGAGGCTCGGAATGTGGTGCCCTCCCAAATCTGCTGTATTTGAGTAGGCCACTGCCTTTGTGGGAGCTGCAAATCAAGCGCAGAACTTACCAGACCTGAGCTACACAGCTTAACCTAAAACTGAGATCCACCTCTGCTCTCACACCTGATGATAATCACCTACTATAGCGTTGAAGACGTTGGGCTTTTTTACACCGTACAATGATATCTTGTTTTAGCCGTGTAGACCCCCCCCACAGCTGGGATTACAATGCAGATGGACCTCCTGAGCACCAGCCGCACTCTTCTCATACACTCCTTATTTTTAAAGAATTTTTTTTTTTTTTTAAAGCAAACCTGTAGTTCATTTTAAACTGAGAAAAAAACCACCACGAAGCCAACACTGAACTGAGTCTCTTAACTGTATTTATTGGCCTGAACGATAGCAGAGGGTTGCAAGCTGCAGTTCAGAAATTATATTCCACCTGCTACCAAGTTCTTAAGCATAGCTGTTTTCTCTGGAAGAAAAAGTAGCTCCCTAAGTAAACAGAAACACTGGTGCCCAGATTCCCAAGCTAGTTCAGAACACACAGCTAGTTCGGAACTCCAGCAGTTCCCTGCTTGTCTGAAAGACAAAGACCGGCCCCACTGAACGTAGCTCGGGAGAGTGGCCTGTTCCGTTAAGCTCCTGGGAAGTTGTACTCACTGCTGTGGAAATGCTGGAGGATGACAGACCGGACAATGAACTTCCCTGTGCACAGACACGTGCAGCGCAACGCTGTTACTGTATTTGCGTTAGGTGTGTTGATTTAGATGTAGCACACAGGATTACCCCTCACTCCACAAACCTTGTTTAACTGGATAAAGGGGTGGAGCAGAGAAACTGCGCAGAAGAGGGAGTCGTTTGACAGACGCTGCACTACTGATAAGCAGTAGAACAAGGAAAAAATTAGCTTCGAGTTTAGCTTCTATTCACCACACTGGACTAAACCACGCCACCTCCACGCAGCAGGGCGATTTCTAATCATTTCTTTCCTCTGTGACTGCCTTTGAAACAAAGTGAAAACACCTTTATCAGGCTGTGCCCCTTATTTCTCTCATCCACCTTGTTATTACCCCTACTGAACTCCAGATTTCACTTGCAATTTTGACACACACACACAGGGAGATGAAAGGGAAGAGCCGTGATGCACATTTTACACATAGTCTTTAAAAAGAATAACCCTGTTCTGGCTAAGATTCACTTCCATTGCATTTTACATCAACAGATCTCAAATCCCCGCAGAAAGCATCAGAATCTTCAGTTTGCATGAGAATGGACAGCTTGCTCAAGCTGACAAACTCAGTTAGTGGCAGGAGCTGCCCCCTTCATGGTCGTAAGTCACAGGCTAACACACTGCCTTAAATCACACAGCTTTGCCAGCAGGAAGGCAAGCGTCAGAAAATTTGGACTTCAGATTGGAAAGTTCCCAACTGCAGACTCATACCCAACATCAACGCAGCCAAAAATAAGCTAGAAATCTCACAGAAAAGGTCAAGATGGCATATCTAGGACTTCTGCTTCTAGACAAGAAACTGCCCCCACACCCACACAAACAACCCGGTTTGCTGGAATTTCCAACTTTGTCCCCAGCCGCAACTTCTAAGTACAAAATTAAAAGGGAAAACCATGGGGTAAAGGGAGCAGAAGAGGCCCATCACATCATCAAAGTTCCAAAATTATTTAGATTGACTCTGGGACTGAAAAAAAATGAGGAAAATAATTGTAGATCTTTATTCAAGCCAGCTTGACCATTCTGAACACCAGAACAAATTCACAAGAAACGCGATGACAAATAATTCTTCCTAGAATGTAGATAGAACAGGCCAGGCACATTCAGACATACAACCTGCATCCCCAATCAATCCACTTCAGCATCAGCCCTCCCCTGGCCCCTTCTACCAGCTGCTTAAGGGAAAAGAAGCTCTGTAAACAGTTACCGTGGAATAACAAGAAGCAAGGGAGGTTCCTCCTGGCTTTTCCTTATTTACTGTTCCTCTTCTGGAGATCTTTGTTGTGTACTTTTTTCTGAAACAGCTCTGTCTATTCTTTTTTCCTTTCTGAGCCTTGCTGAACTCCAGATCTCAAAGCACACTTGGAGTGGGTGAGTTCCACTGGCTAACGCTCTAAGTCTCCACAAACGCACACAATTTTTTCTGTGCCAGCTCGTGATTTAACAAGCCGCTGCTCTCCCTGCTCATGCCGTTTACGGAGAAACGGACAAGCAGAACCTGGATCTGGGACCACGTAACATACAAGCTGCTGTTCTACATAAAGCTGCTCACAGTCCCCAAACCACCCATTTTAACCCTGCCTGATATAACTTACTAGGCAGGTAAGGGCACTTCTGCCTCTATTGCCTCCTTCCTCCCCAAAACTACAGAACTTCTACAAAACTACTGTTATTTTCCTAAAGAATATTATTGATGCTGCCAGGTTGCACAAAGCTTCCTCTGCTCAGTAACCCATTGGATCATATTCCTGGTGAATGGAATATATTCCCGATACAGACATGGAATATTAGGTCACAATGAAGAAGATACACATAGAACTTAAATTAAGAAATAAACATCAGCAAATTTGTCAAGGTAAGCCCAGGTGGCCTAGAGCTAACCATCGCTTAGGCTAGCATTTTGTAAAGAGTCACGAAGCACATACATCCCTGAACGGCAGACGCTGGCAGATCACCACCAGGAAAGACCCTCAGCCACCTCAAAGCGCACACAACAATTTGGGGTTGCTTTAGTGTGAAAAAGAGGCTCTTTCCTACCTGTCAATGATCACAGGGTCAGACGGAGTCTCATTTCTGTTGCCGCAACTCTTCTTCTCACAGCACCGACTAGAGAGAGAAAGAAAAGCAAAATTAAAGAATTACTGGGACAGTCGATAGCAAAGCACCCAACTAAAAGTCTTGTCTGCAACCCTTGAGGACTCAATATACACCTAAGAGAGCGACTGAGAAAATTCTGGCTATGTTTTTCAGAAGGGAGAAGAACTAAGGGAATTGAGTGCCCAAATCCTGTTTGATTCCAGCTGGACTTTGGCACTTGACTCCCCCATCGCCTCTTCTGAAAGTCCCAGCCAAAAATGAACAAGCAACATGGTCACACTTTGGATTAAGGTGCTATTTATAAAGGCTTAATAAATGATTAACAGATGTCATAATGACATTATAGGCATGAGTATCATGGTTAAAAGTCCATCATAAAAAGGTGTTAGAGCTGACTATAAGCCACCTACTGATTTGATACATTCTAAGAACTGATTTGATGATTATTAACTATCTAGTGACCCCTAAGTTTCATACACTCACAGAAAACTTCAACACTGTAGAAGCACCAACGAAAAACAGAAACTGAACATACTCAGATCCCACTAAGGACCTGAAGAGAGAGCTTTTCAGGTTGGCATTTCCCCAGTAAACCCCTTTGCAGTCGTTTCAGTGGTGATAAGCCCTTCAGATGAAGCATGCATCGATACACATTTTATACCTTGTGGCCACCAACATGACTGTATAGAAATAAGAACGCTCTGACGAACTCACTACATGAAACAAATAGATTTATCTGACATGGGAAGGAAATGCAAGATAATGCTGTCGCCCTCAGGAGCTCGCAGGAAGGTTCTGCCTGCAGAATGATGCCCGTGTCACGTCCACATCTGTGCCCGTGTGTGTGCACACGTATGCAAAGACGACTGTGTGTGTATGTACAGCTGTGTAGATACACACACACATATGTCAGAAGATGGTACAGAACAATACAGCCTACACTCAGGAACTATTTGATGTTCTTCACTCGCAGCGAATTAAACTTTCTTCAGGAAAGCACAGAACCACTCCATTTCCTTTTCCCATTTTTAATAATAAGTGATAAACAAACAGAAATTGAGACATGTCATTGTTCAGTTTCCAGGAGCACAGGTGATGCTCCTTGCATGTACACCAGCTTGAGTGCCAAAGGTTTAACAGACTTTAAAAACGGTCCTTGCTCCGAAATCCTCAATTTCAAAAATTTGTAGCAACACGGACGTCTGTTAGAAGACTTAAGCTGCTTGATGAGCAGTTTGTTCAAACCAAAGCGAACGGGAGAGGGAGGACGGAGGCGTCCCAGACTTGACGCAGACTCTGTCCGAAGTCCCGTATGCCTCAGCAGCCACCAGAGCAGATTCTGCCTCCAAGTTCCGCAGGGCCTTTCCAAACCGCACTTTTCACATTCTGCTCAGGTGGTTCAGATTCACGCAGACGGAATCAAGAAACTGTTAGCTGTTTTGTACAGTGCTATAATAGGTGCTGAATAGATTTGCAAAACTCTCAAGTCAGTCTGAATCCCACAGTTTTCCAATTCCAAGCAGAGGAATTAAAAAAAAAAACCCACCTCAACCTAACAAACAAACAACTTGAATCCACTGCAGGCAGTACAAAATAGGAAAGAGTAGCTTTTTTCCCTGCCTAATATTAAATTATAAATACCTAAAATAAGCACTTAGACAAAAAACCTCTTTCAGAGATGAAAAATTTCAGATGCATGCATTTTCTCCTTAATTTGCGGTGCAAGTTGAAATTACCCAGCAAGATGAGCTACGACTAGCAGATCTATTTGAATAGCAGCTCTAACTGTTTCAACATTTTTACATTCCCTTTGCCTCAAACCTGCACTTATTCATCGATGCTAGTCCTTTTAAAATAAAAGGATACACTAAATATTTAAAAATCCCTGGGGCACACCCTCTAGCTGCTGTAAATTGTCATAGCTCCATCGACTTCAGTGAAGCTATGGTAATTCACACCAGCCAAGCATCTCCCCACTCCCTCCTTCTCCCAACTTTAAGTGCATCTTTTATGCATTTCACTGCCTAATGATTGTTTATAAAGAATTGCATATTTTTCCACTCAAAGCCAAGATTTGAGATATTTTCTACAGAAAAAAATAAACCACCCCCAAAAAAGCAGAAACCCCTCACTCAGAAGAGTATAAATCTGGCGTGTACTTCTGGCACGTCCAGTAGAACACCACGTTGGAAATGACACTGGAATAAATGCCTTCCTGGCTTACACCCACCGAAACAACAAAAGGAACGCAATTTTAAACACAGCTTTGTAGTGTTTTCGTGATGGTTTTTATGCTACAGCTAGCTGAAACAGCAGTCACCCCCTCTTTGCAATAATACCCAGTGAAACACCCTTTAGTCGTGCAACTTACGCAGATGGTCACAACAATGGTTTCTGATGGCGCTACACTGCAGTGGCGCCCAGGCAGAATACGCTAGCAGTACCTGCACCTCATCTCGTCAGCTCGCACACCCTTCCCACAGAGGCTGCCGGTTCTTGGCACAGCGTTTTCCACCGAGTTCCGGGACACTGGAGTGCAACATGGCTGGGTTCCGCAATCAGCGCTTTGTGGCTCGTTTCAGTTTGCAGTGCTTAAAACTTGTCCTTCTAAAACTGTGGCTTACAGCTAAAGTTCTCTAAATATTTTAAATATCTACATTCTCACCACACTCGGGTAACAGATTTTTGTTAAAGCAGTAGATTATTTTTTTCCCCATTGACCATAATACTGTTTGAGCCCAAACATACATGAAAAGATTTCTTGATTAGGGAAAACAGTCACCCACTTCCAGCGAACCACACGTCAATCAGAGTGCTTTTAGAGACTGAGGATGTTTCAGCCCAGCATTTTAGCACAAGTACCTCTCAAATCTTTAAATCCCTGTTTCCAAGTATTTCACTGCGGTATCCAAGCACTAACATTTCCACTGGGTTTGTTTTACGAGGGCCGTATGTAACAGGATTGACTTGCTCCAATTTTACTCAATGGCAAAAATCACAAACTCTGGTGGTCCAGGATCAAGCCTGCAATATTCTCTTAAAGCAAATTATTGGCGTGACTTCACCAATATTTACATTTCTGCTATGATATTGTGCTAAGAACATACCTGTAGAGATGCTCATTTGCTTAAAGCAAGAATATCAAGGGCTAAGACTTCTATTTTCTACACCTTTTCTTATTATACTATACACTCTAACTGGATCTGTGTGGGAAAACCAATGGTTCACATTATGAACACTCCTGAAAAAGACTAAAAACAAACACAGAAACCAAAAAGAAGCTAGCACAGACACCACCAGATCTACAAACTGAACACTCCAGAATGCTCATGTCAAAAGCAAGCTCCATCCTTTCCCTCCTCACACTTGACTAAAATGGTTTTAAAATTCAGCCCTCAACTTCCCTCCCCTCACACCCCACAGAAAAAAATAAAAAAAAAAAATCTGTCTCTAATTTCAAACTCAAATAAGCTCACAGCATGGTGGCCTTTGTTTTGTTTTCTTCTCCCCAACTCCTCCCTGCAATTGCATAACAAAAGTGTCTAAATTCACACCATCTGGCCGATAAAGACACAGGCCCCAGTGGCCGCCTGGCCCAGCTGATTAGAGCTCCTGTCTAGCCTGAGCCTTGTGGCGAAAGTCACAGCTGTGGGGCTCGCCTGCGCTCAATACAGCTCTGTTATTAGCCAGCTGTAGGCCCTGAGACTACTTCTGTTCACATTATAATACCTTTTAACCCTCTGAGCATTGAGGGCATGGGGGGTTGCTGGCAGCAGCATAACAACTAGTTTCCTCTTGGTCGATAATTGGAAAAAAGGAAGAGGAGACAAAAAGTTACTCCAGGAGAGGAGACTGTTTACCTTGATTTCCAACCGTCGGGGGAAAGAGCGTGTGTTTAAGAGAGACCCACCTAATAGGAACAGCTCCCATTAGGCCGTAACAATCCAAAGGAGAAATTTCAGATCTGCAAATAAATAAATAGAGCCTCTCACTGAAGCACTAATTATCGAGAGTTGAGAGTTGAACTTTCAATTGGTGTGACAGATTGTTGTAGCCGTATCAATATTTAGACAACTTTCCTGCTAAGCGTGCATCTGTCACCGTCTGAGCGGGAGCTGCGGTTTCGGGTGTGCTTGTCTCTGTACAGCGCGAGTATCTGCGGGTGTGATTACACACAAAACAATACCCAAAAATGCCTACCTTCGGCTAGCGAGGACTGGAAGAAGAGGAGCAGAAAGACAGGCAGACCCTTCTTTTTAAAAACACCAAGCATCAATTTGGACAGCAGAGTGGGTACAGTGCATTAAATTTTCATATACTGTTACTAATGCAAACTAAACTAGGGGCTTTAAAAATTGATGCTGCCACTTAAGCAGCACACAGTGAGGCAGATTTGATTATTGTACTTAAAAGAAATAAAATAAAATGTCAAGTTTAACTAGCGTTGGATCCATTCCCTCGGCATTATTCAAAGTGATACGTGTAATGCCTCTTCAGAATACGCAGAATCCTGCTCGGAGGTACTTTAGGAAAACACGACATTTAAAATCAAATGTCTTGATTAGGTTGCAGAGCGCTTTTGATTTTGTTCACTAATCTCTGTTTTACATGGAAAGGATGTCCCGGAGTTGTAATTCTTCCTTGGCTAATCTATCAAGCAGGAGAGCACAGCATAATCGGAATAATGGTTTACATTCGTAGAACACCCCCTGCACGCAGCACGGAACGCATTACAAGCATCAGTGGAGCGCAGGTACGTAAGAGCTGAACAAAGTGTTCGATGCCATAAAGGCATGAACAGGAAGCAGGGGAAAAAGCCAAATCAATTTGATTTTAAAGAAGTACCTTTGCACGGGAACGTGCTGGTGTTTGCCGAAATGTTTTAACTTCCAAACCAGAACTGCACTCCATGCAGGAAGAGCATTATTTTGTGACCACAAACCAGGACCCAACTGCACGGCAATTCAGAGGCTTTTCTTCCCTAACACTCACCTCCTCGAGCGAAGGCTTGCGGGTGGCACATGCGTACATATTCAAACACGGACACGAGTTCTCCATGTGCCAGAAAGCAGCATATACGCCTTGGCTCCCTGCTCCTACATCCGCAGGTCACGCATCTCTCATGCGTGACACACGCCGTGTTTGTGCCCACATACGTGAATGTCGCTCAAAAGCAACAGTGCTCATTTTCTTAATTAACAAGAGCAAAGCACAACAAACACTTGATTCTTACTATATTTAAAAAGTAATGGAAAATCTGACATAGTTGTTATGTGCTGAAACTTCCCCTGACAAGACGTCAGTCCAAATAAGCTGCTTTCTAGTATATAAACTTAAAAGGCTACTTTAAAAAAAATTAAATTAAAAAATGAAGTAGCAAACTGTAACATTAAAAGAAGAGGCATTCAGTCCAACAGCTTAACCCCCTCCCACTAACACAATAAATGACAAACTGTCTTTAATAAAGGTCAAGATTGGTTATGCCTTTCATTTTATGAAAGAACGTTCTGTGTACAATTTAACACATTTTAATATAAGAACATGGATCATTTGCATTGTCATATGTCTTGAAAAAAATTTAATTACATGAGAACAGGAAAAGTAATAAGTTACCATGGAAGCACGATGTACATACATAAAGTACATGTAACTTCAGACTTATACAAATGTTATTAAAAACATCCTCACCTCATCTTACCCTCTAATTTATTACTTTACATGCTAAAAATAGTGTCTTCTTTAATTAAAAGGTGGAAGCCCCCTAACTATTGCTTATGTGTTCCAGAAAAGAATGATTTGTGGTTTGGTCTGAGAGGTTTCTTTTTAGGTTGGGGAAGAACTAAGCAAAAATAAAGAACATAAATGATGATAATTTAATTCAGAAAATTAACATATTTCAGCACAGAAAATTACACGAGGAATGCCTTTTAGTTTCCAGGTACAAATCTGTAAGTTAAACTGTACATTCTCAAAAGGTGAACAGGAATTTTGTAAGAATCAAGCATGTGAAAGGTCTCAATTTAAACAACACACAAAGGCCTAGTTTAAACTGAAACTGCGCAGCTCAAACCGTGGAGCTGGAGTTGCTAAACCTCTTGCAGTAAAACAAAACAAAACAAGCCAAATACCTGTACTGAACCCAAATCAAGTATTATCCACGTGTAAAAAAAGTTTTCCTACACAGAGAACCTCTGACTCAGCAACGACACAAACAAACAAAATCAAGCCTACAACTTCCTGGGAAAGGCCATTCCAGCACGAATGGAAATGCCATTAAAAAAGTCACTTACCTGCACATGACTTCATGGGTCAGCAACACTCTGCACATTTCGGGATTCTTGTTCTGTCCTTCATAGGTTATGGGCTACAAAAATGAAGAGAAAGAGTAAGCCAGTAGCGTCAGGGGGTCACTTATTTGTCATTCTATTCTTATTCTGGGGTGAAGGTTTTTTACCTTTGCTCACCATCGCCTGCAAATAAACACCTTCCCCCAAAGCCTTTTTGAGCAGAGAAAGCACCTTATACATAAATATCGATAAAAAGTGGATAAAAACCTACAGTCCATAGCGGGGGAAAAAAAAAGGTACTGAGGATTACTTTTCAATTGCCCTCAAAAATAAGGTCTGCAGTACAAATGAACAAGGGATAGCCAGAGAAGCAGCAGCATGCAGGGCAATGTAAAGAAAAAAGGAGGGGTAAGGTGGGACAGGGTAGCACGGTACATATTAGCTGTGCTCACCTGCTTAGTGACTGAATCGATGAGTCTGACGTACAGATCCTGTTCAGTCCTGACACCTAGAGCAAGAGAGGAGAGTCATAAATAACGCTGTTACACGCGGCCTTCCCTAACATCACAACAAAAACATTAAATCTAGTGCCTTACTAAACATCCCCAGAAAGCCCATTTAGCTCTGTCTCCTCTAGCGTATTGCCCAAGCCCATCCATTCCAGGGAAATTTCAGAACCCATCCCTACACTGAAGGAGCAACATGCAAGGGAGTTCCTGTGTATTTTAGAAATCCTAGTGACAGCACCTCCAAACCTCGCCTCACTTCCCAGCCTGCAGAGGGGACTCACCGTTGCTGTAAAGGAGCTGGAGTTTGTAATGTGTGCCATTGTTCGTCTTTTCATTGCCTTGCTCCTGAAAGAGAGAATTAAAAAAATCTTCCAGAGCTTACGCTTGGCACATTTAAAATGCAGAAGCTGATAATCATGATGGAAGTGACAACAAAGTTCATTAAAATTCCGAGAGGTGAATCCGCTGATTGGGATATATTAACCTTCCGAATGACCCGGGACAAACTACAAAGTGCTGCTGACATCTTTTCCTGTAGGAGTTCAAGAACTTCTTTTCCTCCCTTCGTTGCTATTATGCTCTCAACTTTTTCAGGGCACCGAGAGAAACTGGTACGTTTCAAGTCCATTCACACAAAGCAGACTGACAGTGGGAAGGCTCGGTGGGTTTCATTTCTAACCTGTTCATTACTTTGCATTAGCGTTATTTTGAGTCATTGTTATTTATTTCCCGGAGGTTGTGTTACAGGGATGTTTCTTGCATGTTTCTTACTGCAGTTTCCTAGAAGATAATTATTCATGAGCATGCTCCATAAACAAAGTCTTGTCTGTGACTAAGAAAATAATTGTAAAAACTGTGAGATGGTCAACACAAGGATTTAAAATCTAAAAGCAAATGCTTTTCAAGTCCTGACATCAACTTTGGAGTCTTACGAAATAGAAATAATCAACATATAATATGACACATCACCGTTCAGATTCCACTTATTAGGGTACTAATAAAAACTGCCAGATCTGGTAGGTACAAAAAAAAAAAAAACCACAAACACCAACCACGCACCACCACCAAACACACACATCCCCAAAAAAGAAAAAAAATAACACAAAAAAGAAAAACCACACCATGAAAACCAAAACGCAGTTGTCCCCCATGACATTTTTTATTCTTTTTTAGCAGGCGTATGAAATTCCCGTTGTATTCCCGATACAGCAGAGGCTTGCAAGCCTTTTTAATTACAGCAGCACACAGCAGACAACAGCTCTACCAAAGCACCTGAACCCTTGACCAAGAGCTGATTGTATTTTGTCAGGGACAACAGGTATTAAAAGTTGGCCGCTCAATGGGGGAGAAGAAAAGATCAAATTTGGAGAGGAAAAGGGAAGGAAGAAAGATAACAAGCCTTACTTTATCATTTTCTACAAAGTCCACAAAAGCTGTCCTCTCTATTTCCACGGGCTGCCCCTGTCTGTCGTAGAGAGCCAGAACAAAGTGAAAGAAATTGGATTTCCTCAAGTTGGAGGGTGGCTGTTTTTCAAAGTGAGCTCTGGACAAAGCTACTCCGCTGTGGAGGAAACACACGGGACAGGGTGTGGGGGGAGAGACAAAGACATTACCAGGTTGTGCAGCAGTAACAGCAAAACAACAGAAAAGGCAGCACAGTTCAGGGGAAAGCCGGGAGTCGCCCACCTTGAGCGAGTGGCACGCGAGGCTGGGAAGGGGCGCTGAGCCCGCCGCGGCCAGGCGGAGCGGCTCCGCTCCCAGCGCGACCACGAGGGGCCGGACCGGGTCGGGGAAAGGGGCGATGCCCAACTTCGAAACTGTCACTGTCACCCTCCTTTCGGCTTGGCCCCGGTGTCTTTATAGTTACGCTCTGAGGACAAGGGCGATTTGCAGACCCCGGTTATTGCTAAACGCAGCAAGCGTTTTAGTCCTCCTCTACCTATTTTCTTCTCGCCTGTCACCTCATTTTGGGAATGCAACGTGCAGGGTGGGAAGTAGACATAACGGATCAGAGCCTGGCAGTGCTGTCTGTACATCCCAGCATCGTTCACTTTGCCTTCAGGGGAAGACAAGCGAGTTTAAACCTTTCCTACAAGCGGACTCTCCGCTTGAGGACACCTACATTTTAAGTAAGAAACAACTAGTTTCAAGCAGCGCATCCCCTTTCCTCGGCAGCGAAGTTTGCCAGTGCAGTCTTTAGTCACTGACTTAATCTGCCGTTTCCGATTTAAATGGAAAGAATTAGGCTCAGGTTAATTAGCCTTTGCCCAAATCTTGTCTCTGACTGCCGAAAATTTGGTGCTGTTTCCCACACAATTCCCAACTTGGAAAGATTCAATCGCTTCTGCGTGTCCACAAAAACTGCACCTACATTTCTTAGTGAAATTAGTTGTAGCTCCCTCTCCCTAACGCCGATTTCTACCTGCTGCCGAGAAACCAGTTGCACATGAGCACCTCCGCATCACTTAATAGACGGATTAAGTCTATCTGCCAGACAAGTTAGGAGTCAGAGCAGTTTCGGTTTTCAGTCCCCAAAATAGCTCCACTGCATTGGCCAAAGTATTTGACTCTTTCGGAGAACTACAGATGTTTCCCTGTGGTTTTCATTGCCAAATAGGTACAGTGGGAACTCACCGCATCCGCCACAAACTGCACCTAGCTTGGGGCTTCCTCTCATGTAAGAACTCAGATTTCTTGGTGTGTTACAGATCTCTGGAAAAACCCTGGCGATGCCACCACCCTGCACAATGCGACTCCACACCTCCCGCGAATTAGCAGCCGTTTCCTTTTACTTTCGGTTTCCCCAGGAATAAACTTCATCCCACCCCCGCCATCGTATTTATTAAACCGTCTATCGACATTCATAAAACTCTGATAACTCCTCCCATAGCGCTTGGAAAACCTTGCTCACGGATCAGGCCGTGGGTGGGGGCACGGATGTACTTATTTCTCTAACGTCCCTGTTTCACTTGGGGTCCTATCTGCTGTTACATACCCTTCACCTTGTCTCTATATTAATTAAAACCCAGCTTATTCCCGCCACCAATTTATCCTTCCCCGACCCTACTGCTCTTTTCTTTTAAAGTTATCCAGAAAACGAGGAGGGAAAACAAAAATAAATACCTAAAGGATTTTTCATCGTCTTACCCCTGAGGGGAAGAGACGGGAATAACGGTCCTGTGCCGACTCGGCTGGGAGGAGAAAATAAAAGGGGGGGAAGCTAGCTCGCCCGAACAAGTAAAGAGCGAAGAGAGGAGCCCCCAGCCCGGTGTGTTTACGGGCCCTTCCGTGGGCGCAGCAGGTGCCACCCGCCCGCCC